ACACATAATTTTACATTATTAAATACTTGTACTACTAAGTTATGTGGAACTCTTGAAGGCTGGTGTACAGCAAACCCAGGTAAGAACGTAAGTTCTGTATATTCAATGTGCATCCATTTCAGCTCTATCATGGACAAAAGTAATTATGTTATGAAATAGTGGCTAATTATGATTGTGTGTGTCACAGATGGTTTCTCACTGCCACTTGAGCCTACATCAAGTCTGTCCCCGCTGGCAACAAGAGAAGAAGAGGGGAGGGTGTGGTACAAGAATGCTGAGATTAATCGTGGAAAGCAAATAACCATCTCTGGAGCAATAATGCGTAGGTGTTGCTTCTTTTTTAATCGACCAAGATTGGAAAAGAACTGGCAAAAATCTACAAAAGAATTCAAAAGAAATTGAAGGATGGAGAAGCAGACATGCAAATGAGAAGACAGAAAAAAGGGAGACCTGGTGAGGCGGTGGGTAAAGTGCTCAGCTGCGAACCAGAGGTTGCAGGTTCCAACTCACCAGCCACTCTGCAAGACAGAGGTGTGTGAAGATTTACAGCCTTGGAACCCCTCTGGGGTACTTCTATTCTGTCCTATGGGGTTGTTATGAGTCAGAACCAAGTCAGTACTGGGGTTGGGATTTTTTTATTTTTGGGGGGTTAGATTAGAATTTTCCATCATGTCAAGCAAAAAAAAAAGTCCTTCAGAAATATAATGGTGACTTGATTGTAAGAGTCAAAAAAGAAGATTAACAACTTAAATTTGGGATAAAGGACAAAGCACAGATGAATTCATGGCTTCCATCTATGATTGGGGTCTTCAGTGCTTAAACTTTTTGCTTAGCCTCCAACCCATGGTTTTCAATTCATGTGACACATTCCCACGATCTGGGGAGTGTTCTACAACAGATTCATGCATTGGCCACACTCTGAGATAGTCTGATAAAAGTGATCTGGGTGGAGCAAAGGAAACAGCATTTTTTACAGGTCCTAAGGGGATTCTAACATGCAGCTAAGGATGAGAACCATTGTTTGCCTTGAGTCCAGGGGATAGTAAACATTTTCAGTACACCAGCAGATAATAAATAGGCAACTATTCACCTCTGCTGCTCTTGTGCAAAAGCAGCCACAGACCATAAGCAAATGAGCATGACTCTGTCCTGATAACTTGATTTACAAACACAGGTTGCTGTTGTGATGTGCCGTGGAGTCGCTTCCGGCTGCTAGCGACCCTGTACAGGGTTTTTGAGGCTGTAAATCTTTACAGGAGCAGAAAGCCTCTTCTTTCTCCCCTGGAACAGCTGGTAGTTTTGAACTGCTAACCCTGAGGTTAGCAGCCCGATTCGTAACCACTATGCTACCCGAGCTCCTTACAAACACAGGTAGGGGGCTAGATTTGGCCTCTGAGACTATTTTCACTCCCTTTTCCTGAAACGGCTGTATCAAACCTTCACCTACCCTGTATCTCATCAGCAGCTGACCTCACATCATATTTCAGGGGGAAATAGAACAAGTTATCTTACCCAAAGGCCCTTAATTTCCTGGTCCACCTGTAGACTTCGTCAACATCTATCTGATTCTATCCAAATCTCTTTCCCTCTTATTTCAGAAATAATGTTCCTTCTTTTCAGAAGCAATCTAACCCTTTCATTTATACGCTGATTTCTATCATCTTCCTATCTCCTCTGAGGCCTCACTCCAGACAGGATCCCATTTCCTAGGACGTTTATCACTCCCTTTACATCAGTTCCTTCTTTCCAAAAGAATTCAGCTATCTGAAAATGTTTTTGTTTGTGTTTGTTTTTTAAAATCCTCTGCTCTCCTTCCCTTAGCATTTCTCTATCTACTTCCTTTACTTCGTCTCTTCCCACTGACTCCTCCAGACACTAGAGCCTGATTTTTGACCCCAGCTATCTACAATATGTGTTCTTGTCAAGCTCACCAGTGATCTCAATGAAGTAATTTCTTAGTTCTTGGCTGTTTTCTGATTTTTTTTTCCCCTTGAAAACATTTGACATTGTTAATTGTTCTGACAAGTCTCTCCTCACTTAGATTTCTCAATACCATGATATCTGTCCCAGTTCCTTCTTCTGTTGGTGCCATCTATTCTGGCGTTCCCTGAAAATTATTGGGCAAATTCTCTTCTTACGCTACATCTTGTCTCAGCTATTCTTACGGCAGCAAGCACATGGGATAACTCTCAAATTCTGTCTCCAGCTCTCATCCATTTCTGGACCTCAAGGTCTATATTTTCAAATACCTATTGCAAGTTTTCTCAGGTACCACCTTCTTTTGTTGTTTTCTTTATCCTTTATTGTCCATCTGGGTCAATAACTTCCTCATCTATCAAAATGCCAAAGGTTCAATTCTCTCTTTCCCTTGGGGTAAGAGGGATGACGGCACTTGATTGGAAAGTTGGACCAGCAAATATGGTTTTACATATTATTCAGTTCACAACATAACTTCCATCCACACAATAAATGGCAACCCTTAGATTTATGCACTGCATAACATTTAAAACCATATTTGCTGGTCCAACTTTCCACTCAAGTGCAGTCATCAAAATCTGTTGATTCCAATTCCAAAACATCTCAGAATCCATCTTCTTTTACTATTCCCACTGCAACTGCTTTAGGGTAGAATTTAGTGATCGCTTACCAACATTATCTGTGATAATTTCCTAACAGATTCCTCCCCCCCCCACACACAGTTACTTATTGTCTACTGACTACCCATCAATTTGTAATGTTCTACCAGCTGCTCCGTGGGAGAAAGATGAGGCTTTCTGCTCCCGTAAAGATTTACACCCTCGGAAACCCTATACAGGGTCGCTATGGGTCGGAACCGACTCGATGGCACATAACAACAACAACAACAATGACACTGCAAGTCTTTTTTGGACATGAGCTCACATTGACATTCACCAGTGAGCTGGACCAATGGGCAACTATAAGTTGTTCTTTATCAGTTCCCTAAACATAATGTCAAAGGCTTTAATTTTCTTTAGTGGAATTACCTGACATAATACCTAACTTCACTGAATTATTCTCAATCATCTTTAAGTATTATTTACAAAACGTGGTTCTTAGAAAAAATTTTTTTGTTACAATATTTTTATTTAATTCACCCTTTCTCATTAGCATACCACAATGTTGCTTGAATTCCAGAAAAATGATACCATGATTTGTCAGTCATTATTTCCAAAATAAGCTGGTAATGACCTTCTCAAAAGTATGTCTGTTGTTGTTGTTATGTGCCGTGGAGTCGGTTCCGACCCATAGCGACCCCTTACAGGGTTTCTGAGGGTGTAAATCTTTATGGGAGCAGAACGTCTCATCTTTCTCCCGCGGAACAGCTGGTAGTTTCGAGCTGCTGACCTTGTGGTTCACAGCCCGATTCGTAACCACTACGCTACCAGAGCTCCTTAAAGTATGTCTACTGTCTCACAATTCTTTCACTTGGCTGCATAAAAGTTTCACCAACAGATCATTTATTCATTTAAAAACCTACCTTTGTATTTGGTCCTGAGGTTGTTTGTAGCTCTAAATGAAGTTATTAAACTATTTTACATTAATGTATAAATCTGAAAAAACATCAATCCCTTTAATCACCTGTGTATATTTAATCATACATTAACCAAATGACAGATCACATAAAATTTGCACTAAGTTCAAATCATTTATTTAGTAAAAAGAAGAAAACCCTAGCATTTACTAAACAAGACAGTTTTCACAGTCTAATGGGAATGCTGACAATACCCAGGGTGGTTAAGTGATGTTTGACTGACAGATGATGAGGAGGCTAAGTTACCGAAAGAAGGGGCGCTTTGGGATCTGACTTAATCTTCTCCCATTTCGGCCTCTGAAAAATAGGATTAGAACATGGTTTCCACCATTTCTGCTAAGTGTCTTTCTAAACACTTGTTGTTGTTAAGGGCTGTTGAGTCAGCTCAGACTCATAACTACTCTGTATAGAATTTCTGAGGAGGGGCTGGTGAGTTTGAACCATGGACTTTGTAGTTTGCAGTCCAATGCTGATCCTACAGTGCCAGATTTTCTACGCACCAGGCTCTGGTACACACAGGGTGAGGAAATGTAGATAAAGTTAAGAGTTTTCCATGTGTTTTGAGGCAAAGATTCACACAGACTTCAAGGGTACTTGAAGCTTGGCAGATACTTTTCTCCATTTATTAACATCTTATCATTTTCTTACAAGACATGAATGAAAAAGAAATGTAAATTCATATATTAAATATCACTGGTAATCTGCACCTAAATCTAATGCAGAGAATGAAGTCCTAATGATGTAGGCATCTGTCTAGAGTTACATGTGAAATATTTTAAAAACTTAATTTGTCCCCAGGTTCCTTATTGAATTGTAGTCTACACTGTGCATCAAATTGCGCGCAAAAAAAAAGTTTGAGATTTCACTCTGTACACTCTAAATTGATAAGAAAATGGCAAACAAGATTTTGTATGTAAGGAAAGATTAACAGGTAATGGATAGAAAAAAGATGTTGAGATAGAGTGAAACTTTGTCCTACTTGAAATACGGATTGAAAAAAACTCTGGAACACACATACCTACAAACTGTTCTATGTGTAAGAATTCTCAGGGGAGCTTTGATTTTTTTTTTTACTAAAAATGTTCATTTAAAATGACTACTTGTTGTTAAGCGCCATCAAGTTGATTTCAACTCATAGCAAACCTGTATAGGGTGGTCAAGGCTTTTTCAATCTTTGTGGGAGCAGCAAGCCTCATCTTGCCCCCTGCAGATCATCTGACGGGCTTGACTCACTGACCTCATCATGGTTCATAGCCACTGCACTCCCCAGAGAACAAACCAGTTGTGGATCACTTTGATAGACAGATATCACAGAAATCCACAATATAACACAGTTTCCTAGGAAACTATCACAGAACTCCACAATGGTAATACATATACAGTTTATTTTAATTCCTATCTGATGAAAACTGTAAGTGTCAAAACAGCCACAGATTGGAAGGCTTACCGAGGTGTACAAGTATCCCTCGCTGTTCATTGCCAAATACAGCTTGGTTTGAACTCCTTGAATGGCCACGACTCGAAGACCCACAGGGATGAGGTTAAACAGAGCTGAAATGAACATGAATGTGAAAAAGAGTACTGTCATTCTGAATCCCATGGCTTTCCAAGATCTCCATGCAGAAATGTCCCAAAGTGCTCAGTTAGGGCACACAAACACATACACAGGCCTTCCTTTTACATGGTGAGTATACTTGAGTCTTGGTTGCAGCCAAAACTGGAGCTCAAAACTATATCCGCTCAGACACCGTGGAGGAAATGGAAGACTTGGCCACAATTTCATGGTTTCTACTATGTTTGAGAAGGAGCTCTGGTAGTGTAGTGGTTACGAATCGGGCTGCGAACCTTAAGGTCAACAGTTCGAAACTACCAGCTGTTCCGTAGGAGAAAGATGAGGCTTTCTGCTCCCGTAAAGATTTCCAGCCTCGGAAACCCTGTACAGGGTCGCTATGAGTCGGAATCGACTCCACGGCACATAACAACAACAACAACTGTGCTTGAAGTGGCAAAATCTAGTTCTCTGAGCTGACCTGTACATAAAATTGCTTTATTCTTCAACGGACTAAGATTTAGCATGGCTCCCATACCTAACTTTTGAAACTGACAGACTTAGTCAGGATGTTTCTTAGGGATAGTTTCCTAAACTCTTAGAAGAGAGACACTTGTCCAAATGCAACGACCCCAGAAGTCGATTCTAATTTGTAAGATAGTTGCAAGTGGGCAGTCAGTGGGTGTCAGAGAGGTCTTGATTTCTCCATTTGAAGGTTTCACTGTGTGGAAAGAATAGCCAGGTTCTCCTCACAATCACACCCCACACACTAGAGAAAACCAGGGGGCGTCCTCCCCATACCAGCTGTCTATGCCCTCCCACACTGGGAATAAAAATAAAACTGTACATTTTTAAAATGTAGCACTCGTCACACACATCTTTAGAAAACCGCCTGTGCACCTTTCTGCTGTCTGCTACCATCTCTGTGACTGGGAAGGCAAAGCAGAATCCCCATGGGTAAGAAGAGTTTGTCTGGGCTCCCTTATGCTCACCTACTGCGCATACAGTTTGCTGCAGTAGGTGGGGAAATATGGAGGAGCAATATTAATGAAGAACTAAATATTCCTTGGTGAACCTACAATGGCTCTTTCCCTTAATATCCAATGAGGAGCTAGGACACATTGTACAGTGCAAAAGACAAGCATTCCTGTCTCATGCCACTGATGCCATTTCATCTGATACTCATCATATTAAAACCAGTGCCCTTCTGTTATAAGATGGAAAGGAAGTGAAAGAGCACAGACTGCGAACTGGACTCTCAGCTAAATCAGACTAAGCAATTCAAATGCAAGAGGATCGCCATCTCTGAGTGTGTTAGGAATATGGCATAGCTCTTTCTGTGGATGACACCGTATTCAAAAGTACTAAACCTGCATTTGTGGATTGGTAGCAATTTGTCTAATGAAATCCCAGTAATATGTTTTGGGAAGCTAAAAGATCACATATCCATTACATAAAAAGGTCATAGTCTATATTTTTTTAGATCTAAGAAGTACCACTCTCCTTAAAGGTTTGATGTAAGAGCCACAGTGCTACATACATACCACTAGACAAGCAGAACACCAGCCTAGGTCTACATCTTAATCTAGTCACAGTAATAGGATGAAAGAGAGGGACAAGGGAAATTCAGAATTAGGTGGAACCACATTTTCTACACAATTGGGAGCCTTCTGAGCTCTCTGGATGCTGCTACATTGTAACAAGCAATGGAGAGAAACAAAAGCCAGCCAGAGACAGAGTGACTGAATTTTTTACATATGCCCCTCACCACTCTATAAGGTAGGTTTTTAATGGGCAGTGGAATGTAGATATCCCAAACATCAGACAAAAAGAAAATGAAAGAATATCAATAATCCCAGTCATCTATGAACATCTATGAACTTCTGATAAATGGTATCAACTGGAACAGCATTTTGTAATGGTGTGGTGTTGTAGGAGAAGCACTGGGCCTCTAATTGCAAGGTTGGTGGTTCAAATCCATCAGCCACTCCTCGGAAACCCTATGCAGGGTCACATTTAACCACCACCACCATACATTTCTGTGAAATTTGATTCAAACCACAAAGCCTTGAAGGGAGCAACAAAAGGGGAGGGGGGTTGGTGAGAGGTGTCTAATCTTTTCCATTCTTGAGATTTTCATAAAGTGGGGAGATCTCAAGTCTATAAAAATGGATAGCCCTTCAAGAGAAAAAGGCAAAGAAATGCTATGACAGGGGCAAACTTGCTTCCTATCAAAGCCTTAGTTTCAAAAGCATCCAGAGCACTTCTTCATGGATTCAATGATCAAAATCTCATAAGGAAACCATTGCTTTCACTGATGCTTCTGTACCTGTCATTCAATACTGAAAATCTCTTCATCCATTTCAGTCAGCTGTTTAGAAGCTGTTTCGGAATAAAAGCGCTTTTGTTTTTTTTATTGGTTTTCTGGGAAGCATCTATAAAAACAGACTCTTCTGCCAGGAGGAACCATTTTCTCAGGGCCATGCATGTAGTTGGTGCTCAGTACTGACTGAATAAGATGCTTGTTGTTGTTGTTAAGTGCCATCAAGTCGGTTCTGACCCATAGCGACCCTGAACAGGGTTTCCGAGGCTGTAAATCTTTACGGGAGTAGAAAGCCTCATCTTTCTCCCGCCGAGCAGCTGGTAGTTTTGATCTGCTGACCTTGTGGTTCGCAGCCCGATTCGTAACCAGTACGCTACCAGAGCTCCTGAATAAGATGCTAGAGCCACACTATTTCATCAGTTGGTCCGATATCAATTTCTCAAAGGAACAGACAATGAGGGGGCATCTTACTGTAGACTGGAGAGAGGCAACATGTTGAATCACTGTTGGTTTGAAGGGAAAGGGCAAACTACTCTTAAAAATAGCCTTTATTACAGACAAGGCAGATTAATACAACTATTGCCATGTAACGTCTGTCATCATTTCCTTTGCAGAAATTTACAATGACTGATTTGCTCCCACGGATTTTATTGGACTGACATTTACCACTGTGAGAAATCCACATAAGGCAAAGCTTAAATGCATAATATCAAGCACAAGCATGTGTTTCTAGAAATATATATACACCTTGAGTCCTGGTGTGGTGCTGTAGGATAAACACTGCTAACCATCAAGGTTGGCTGTTCAAACCCACCATCCACTCCTTGGAAACTCTATTCAGGCTCACTACAACTTGACAGCACGTAACAACAACAACAACATAGTTGGGCACAAGGGAACTGAACTAATTTCATTCCTCATGATCAGGATCAACAACCACAATACTCCAATGGAGCTAAATGTGATCAATTACAGCACAATAATTTTTAAAAGAATAATAAAATTAAGCTATATACACCAGCATGGCTTATGTGGGAAAACACTATACAAACGAAAGACCGCTAGTTGATAATAAATGAATAAGCAGCCTTGTTCCAACCACTTATGACAAATTAACCAAATAATTATTGCCAATAAAATGGCGTGGCTTTAGGAAGAAAAAGTAAACTTGGATGGCTAGACTTCTATTTTGATTGATCATTTCAATCACTGAACATTTTTGTTTCATGATGACACGTGCCTCACTCCAGCGGCCAGTGACGTCTGCTCCCCTGCCTCTGGACACCCTTGGCACCGTTGACTTCCTATGTCCATATTGGTAGGACAATACTTACCACTGGTTGAGTTGCGTCTCGCTGTTCTAATCTGCCTAACCCGAGATTCTGGCCATCACAGGCTGTATAATTCCTACAGAGAGCCAGCATGCTATATGAATCAAAGATAACCAGGGGTATGTAGGACCGAAGAGCAAATCCTACGATGTGATTTTTAGCTCCATAGTAAAAACCAGATCTCTCTGTATATGTATGTATATACAAAAGGGGCTTCAAAAAGTTTTTGGAAAATGGAATAGATAGATTTTTTTTTTAAGAAACTGTTTAAACCCCCATCATGTAAACTCACACACACTTTATATATACAGACAGACAGACAGACAGACAGACAGACAGACAGATGCTTTAGAGGATTCTGTATATAATAGGAGTCCTTTAACCTCAACGTCTGTTTTGACTGCAAGATCGGCAGTTCAAACTCACCAGCTGCTCCTTGGAAACCCTATACAGGTTCGCTTTGAGTCAGAACTGACTCGATGGCACTTAACAACAACAATAGCATATCTATAATGGAGTTCTGGTATGGTGCAATAGGATAAGTACTACAGTGCTAACCATAAGGTGGTTGAATCAAACTCACCAGCTGTTCCTCAGAAACTTTACATATGGTAGTTAGTAGTCAGAAATCATTTCACAACAAGAAAATATATAATATACATATCATTTTGTTGTTGTTAAGTGCCGTTGAGTCAGTTCTGACCTATAGCGACCTTGTATAAGGTTTCCAAGAAGCAGCTAGTGAGCTTGAACTGCTGACCTTGCAGTTCAAACGGTTTTGCAGTCTGATGCATTAACCCGCAGCGCCACACCAGGACTCCATACATATCATATGTTTATATATATTATAATTGTTGTGCTTAAGTGCCGGTGAGTCAGTTCTGACCCATACTGACACTGTATAGGGTTTCCAAGGAGCATCTGGTGAGCCTGAACTGCTGACTTTGAGGTGCAAAGCGACTTTGCAGTGTAGCGCAGTAACCCACAGCACCACATCAGGAATCCATATATATTATGCATATTATAAAAAATTGACGTGGATAAATATTTCACTGGGTTGTACTCATAGACAACTAAGGAAGCCTTCCTTCAGTGATGCCTGACAGATACATTAGTATATGTCCCTTAATTCCATCCCCCTAACTTGGAGCAACCTGTATGCGATATCCAAGGCTGTAAATCTTTTGTGGGAGCAGAAAGCCTCATCTTTCTCCTAGGAAGTGACTGGTATATTCGAACTACTGACCTTGTGGTTAGCAGCCCAACTCATAACCAGGGACCCTTCACAAAGATAGGTGCATACAATCAATGTACATGTTTTATTGTTGACCATTATATAGTAATTTATGTTATATGATTACAGAAAAATCCTCTAGTTACACTTGCCTGATTCTTTGAAATAGGAGAATATACCACCACCCTCCCAAAAGAAGTTAAAAAAGCTAAAAAAGAATGTAGGCTACTGAACTCATTGTAGACCTTTCATATCACAACCAGAGCTGAGCATTTTGGGAAACAGTGGAGAACCTATTAGTATGGGTGTTTTCCATCTGAGGCACCAACAGTTTCTTCAAGGGTAACTGAAGATGACTTTCTCTTGAGGTCGCAGCTTGGCTGGCCATCAACCCTGGAAGCAATCCTGCAAAGTGTAAAACTCCCTAACTCTTTCTAATGGTACCCTGTTCTGTGGCTGTGCCATCTCTACCAAACTTGTTTCAAACAGCTGCACAGTCCTCGTCAGTATGCAGACCTGATTGCCTTGACTGAAATAAAGCCAACAGCAGGAGTATTTCTGAGAAATTACAAGAATCCGGGGTACTTTTCCAGTACAAATTGGAAAAGCCACAGAACAATTTGTGAGAATTAAGTGTTTGCATGTTATGGAACACTTCATACGTACATTCGTCGAAATCTGTATGTTGCCAGGAAACACCATTCACCAGCATGAAAGTGAGGGGTCCACTGTGTGCATTTTTATGTTTTCATGATTTCAAATAAATATAGTGTATGCAATAAGAGCTTATGTAACATCATGGAATGACTTTACTTCCAATAACTGACATTATTTTTTATCTGTTTCCTATTCACCATTAGTGATGGTCAACATAGTTTATACTGAAATAACAGTTAAAAACAAAGCACTACATGAAATTCCTTTACCACCTGAGGAGAGTGTGCCAAGTTAAAATTCCCATGAGTCTGGGTGTTAGCGGAGGGGATTAGACGTGAAAAGCTTGTACTGACAATCCCAGTATCATGAAATGCTCCACTCTCTTGGGATGAGGCTGCTTCTTAAGAGTAGAGATAACATGCTATTTCAGGATCAGCGTGTGGGTGAGTAAACTTTCTGTGGGGGGAGAAAAAAAAAGTAATAAAATCCAAAGGACAGCCATAAATCTATCTCGATTACCATGGAGATGACATTTGGGCTGTTCCTCAGATGCTGTAAACAGTATTTGCTTGAGTTCACTATTTTGGATATTTTTGTGATTAACTTCCTTTAGGATCTGTAAACAGATTCTGTAGTCTGACTATAGCTCACATCCTCTTTAGGGTTGATTAGAAAAGAAATGAGAAGAACATTTACAACGTCAACCACATGCTGGAATCTACTATGGGATTTCGCAGTCACTTACTGTAAGTGCTGTCCTCGTCTTTGGTGCCATCAATGGTCCCATCGGCCTGCAGCTGTAAGTGGTAGCCTTGCCGGCTGTACAGTTTGGTAACTATACCCTTCAGCTGAGGCTCTGCAAAGAACAACAATGGCTTGGGTCAATTGGGACACTGGACATCTGTAGTATTTTTTAAAGTCTCTTGAGTTTAACATGTTAATTTCATTTCCAAATATGACTGGAAATACATCAGATGGCTCCTGGTTTCAAAGAGTCTTCTAGAACATGGAAAACAAACAAACAAATGCCTAAGTTTCTGAATACATCTCCACACTCAAGACGGATACATTTGTTTTCTCTCTCACACCATTGGTAAAGCTGTAAAAAGCTTCAGTCAGCTCCTGGTAGCATGGTTCCACGGCTTACTCGGATCTCATTGAGCATTTGGAGTGAGATGGCATAGTCTACCTTTTAACAACATGCCACTTTTCATGGAGAAAGAACAGGAGATATGCCAAGATAATTTTGAGTTGCTTGCCAACCAGGGACCAAAAATGTACAAATCCAAGATTTCCTTCAAAGCTACTGCCGTTTGATTAGAGTCTAAAAAAGGGTGAAAATGCAGCCTTAGTCTGAAGCCCCATCAGGACTAACTTGGAGGAAATTGAGCCTTCAATTTAAAAAAAGGGGGGTGGGGGGCAACATATAAAATTATCACCATTCCATATCCTATTAATCATCATTAGAGAAAACCGTATAAAAAGAGCAGAGTTTCTGTTGGTGGGAAAGAAAGCAAATCAGTTCCTGTTTATCTTTAAATTTAATATTGGAAATCAGATTAGCCAAAGTACGTGTTGGTAATTAAAATCATTTTTAATTATGAACTGCCATCCATTAATAAAATAGCAAATATACCAGTAAGAGCCATGTTTTCCAAAATGTGCTATTACTGAATACGGACACCTGCACTGAAATAATAGTCCTGTGATTCTGCAGGTCACATTATCATGTTTTTCAACCAAGAACAAATTTTTTAAATAAGCTTAATTTAGAGCTAAGGCATTAAAAACTTTGTGTAAACAGGAAAGGCATGCCCGTATTTCCATTCCATTCAGCGGTATGTACAGAATACACAAAAAGAGAAACAGTGATTAGTGGAGAAGTCTGAATGCAATCATATTTATCTAGTTAAAGGCAAGGGGAAAACAACAGTATAAAGGATTAATTTGGTTAAGAATGACCAAACTAGCAACCTGCCACCTAGAGCTGTGTGAAGGTCCCCTAACACCAGAATATCAGGCTACTTTATCACTGAATTGCTTCAGAAACTCCTACAATTGCTTAGGAGTTCCCTCTTTGGTCCCTTATTTTCCTAACAAGTAACCACGTTCTACCACCCTAAGCAGATCAACTAAAGCTCTTTGCCACAGGCTCCAGGAATCCCCGCATACCACCAAAGGGTACAATTCAAAGCTGCATCACAAATCTGTCCTGATAAGCTTCAAAGTGGTTACAGAAACCGGATGCCTAGACAGCAGAAGCCTCATGGCTCCTGAGGACCGCAGCTGAATGGTAAGGGTCAGGCAGGAAGGCTGGGAACGCAAGAGAGGGATTCCCCAGATTCTCCAGGGGCAGTGGCATCTGCCTAGCTCGGCGCTGGCCTTTCCACGCCACACATATGACAGCCATGTCTGGGTTCTGCCTGCCCAGCACACATGTGGCACGCCTGAAAGCCGCAGGCACCCCATGGGCAGGGGATACCCGGCTCTGCACCTGTCCCACAGCATTTGCAATGCAGTAAGTCGGGGAGCAAGCAAGCAATCGCGTTCTCACACACGCACACAGACTAGGTGGCCTCACCGGCACACCAGGGGCTACCTACAAACTCCCCACCCCTAGCCCTGTCCATACTCACAAAGTAGGGGACAAAAGAGAAAACATGAAAAATAAAAATAATGAAAGAAAGAAAACCAAGCGTCGCTTCCGACCTGGTCTCCTTCTGCGCCGCTTCTTGGAGCCGAAGAGTTTGACTCGGGAAAAGACATTTAACTTGTTTTTGTCGCAGCTGGTCTTGCCCTTACTGGGGCTGCTGACACATTTGCAGGCGTTGGATTTCTCGCGCTCTCGGGCTTGCCTCTTCTGCCGGATCAGAGAGCTGGCGATCGCCGCCGCCATGGCCACGACGCCCACCACCACCACTTCGTGGGCTGCCCCTAGCTGTGCCGCTGCCGCCGCTGCCGCCTCCGCGCTGCCCGCTGGTTTGCGACTCTGGGCTGGTCGCCGGAGCTGCCCAGATACTGGGACTCCTGGGTCTTTAGGCGCGGAGGGTGCTCCGCATGCCTTGCGCTCGAGGCGGAGCTGGTGCTAGAAGCAGAGCTGGGGCCAGTGGACTCTGCTGCTGGCGCCGCGGACAGTGCAGGCGGCGATGGCTTCCGCGTGCGCTCGGCCTGCGCCCGGAGGACACTGTGAAGTCCACACTGCGCGGTCCGAGGCGCCCCCCCCCCCCTCCGCCCTGGTGCGGAGGGGCGGGCGGCTGGCGCGCGGGCGGGCGGGTGCGCAAGCGGGCGGCAGGGAGCGCGCAGGGGAGCGCGCCCAGGACCTCGTGCCGCCCACTAGTCCCAACAACTTCGCCGCCAGCCAGGTGCGCAAAGTTGGCCCAGGGTGGCTGCTGGCCAGAGGGGCTCTAACAGGTAATGGCCTCCCATCCTGGCACTGGCTGCGGCTCAGGGCGCGGCTTCTTCGCAGCACTGGGACTCTGCCACCACAGGCACCCTCCTGAAGAGCAGAGGCCCCTCCCTGTGGGGCGCGCCCACACCCTGCCACCACCCGAGTCCACAAGGACCGCCAGAGAACAAGTGTCGGGGCTGAGGCACTGCTGCTGGCCTGCACCCTCCTTGTCTCTTCCCTCAGGATCTTGAGAAGGGACCAGTGATGGAGGAGGAGCATGGTGTGCTTGGTGACGGGGGTGTACGTGGGGGGCGGGTGTGTTTCTCTTAGAGGGGATTGCCAGCTGGTGGGACAGCGCCCAGCCCCCAGTGCCCCCCTCCTCCAGAAGTTGGCCAGCCTCTATCCTGGGCTAGGACTCAGCCACCCCCATTCCCCCATTGCTCTGTGTAAAGGCATTTCGTATGGCGACACTTGTAGCCATTCCTGGAGGAGGCCAAAGCTCCCAGCTGGGCTCGCCCCCGCGCCAATGGCAGCTGTGGGCACTGCAGAGAGGCGCCCACACCTCACGCTGCCCCCCAGTGGCTTCTGCTGACTTTTCATTTCAGGCCATTTAGTGCAGCCTGAACCCCATTTTTTGTTTAGCGTCCCTTTAATCAATCCATTTGAGGATGGGATCTCAGCAGAAAGCCCTGGATTATGGAACATTTAGGAAATACCGATCCGAGTCTCCTATCTTCCTCTTTTTTTGCTCTCTCTCTCCTGCTTCTCAACTCCAAGCAGCCTCACATCGACCAATTCAGAGGCTTTTGACCAGCCTCGCTCTAGTCACAAGTTCTGTCCTGTCCCTGTTCTCTCTTCTAATGTAGGAGAAACAGGAATTTGGGGGTAAAAATTCAGCAAAGACAACAACCATCCATCAAATTCGTATCTTCATAAAGATACAATTTGACTCTTTTACATGATTTCTGGGGCCAAGAAGGTATGCCCCAAATTGAGGAGCTGCCTACTGGACACTTCACCCCAGCCCCCCACCACAGTTCCTGGTACATAGTCTGTGCCCAATAAAAGTTTGTAAAAATATTGGGTGGATGACTGATTTGTATGATTCTGGAAGAACCTGTGTAATTGCTGGTTGAATTAGAGAACTAACACCTTAGTCAAAGAGGGTCAGGTTTGTGCCTTCTTAGCATGCTCCTTCCGCCATCTCTCTTTTGACCTAGAGTCACGTGTCGCATGGCAAGGACTCAATTCTAGTTCAGGGGAAGGAATGAGGGGCTTGAGGTGAGAAAATGAGTAGTCTTTCTCATGATTAGGAAACCCTGGTAGTGTAATGAGTTAAGCATTGGGCTACTAAATACAAAGTCAGAGGTTCAAGCCCAATAGCCTATCCAAGGGAGAGTGATATGGTATTCTGTTTCTTTAAAGGTTTACAGTCTTGAAAACCCTAGGGAGCAGTTCTGCTTCTCAACTCAATGGCGGAAGGTTTGAATGGGTTTCTGTGCTTTGACCTCCAATTCACCACGAAGGCAGTGTATACCGCTGGCTGGTGCAAACTGTCTTCTCCAAGCATTTACAGAAGCCTGGGGAATTCCTGGAACAGCCACTCTGAGGTGAGTCTTGGGAAAGAGACACGGAGAAGACTGAAGCAACATGGGATGAAGAAGGTAGACACTTATCCCAGAGTCACAGAGCCAAACATGTGACTACATCAGCCTTGTTTCCAACTCCAAGCAGATCCTCCACTCAGTTCTGAAACACTGAGCATTAAACACTCTGCCACGAGCCCATGGAAGCTGACAAGTGGATGATTTCACAGACATTTATATGCATCATTCTTGCTCTTAATGAGCCCTGGTGGTGCAGTGGTTGAGTGCTCAGTTACTAACCAAAGATCAATGGTTCGATTCCACCATCCACTCTGCCGCGCAAAGGTGCAGAAGTATATTCCATAAATTAAAGCCTTGGAAACCCTACGGGGAAGTTCTGCTCTGGCCTTTATGCGTCAGAATTGACTCAGTAACAATAGGTTTTTATGTGTGTGTATACCTTTCTATAGCCTCCTTTTTATTCTTTCAATTCCACTAAATGGTCTATGTGATTGATAAGGAGCTCTTATAAAGCAACGGACAGCTAACCATAAGGTCTGCAGTTCAAACCCACTAGTCATCTCCTTGGGAGAAAGAAGATGCTGTCTGCTCCTGTAAAGATTTACCTACTCGGAACAGTTTCTACTCTGTCCTATAGGATCAGTATGCAGACCTGCCTGCAGACTCCATGTCTTTTTTTTTGACCTCCAAGAACAGAATTCATGGAGGGCTACAACTAGAAAGTAAGGGAGAAAGTGGATGAAGAGCTTTGATCTGGGAACCGGTGCATTTAACCATTCACAAAGTAAATCTTGTGAGCACTTCCTAACTCGCCTGCCTATTTCTCAGGTCCTTTCTGAAGAGAAAGTGTGAAGAACACTC